GCGTGTGATTATTCATCGTTTTTTTAAACTATCATAGAGATATTGGAAAATTCATTGTCTTACTTTCTACTTCTTTTACTTTCCATTATGGATCAGTTTCAACGAAGTAGTAGAACAATTTAGTCCAAACAAAAGAAGCTACCTGGAGTCTTTAGACTAGTGTGGACAAGAATTAACATGACATTCTCAAAAAAAAACTCGACTAGTCTTGAAATGCATAGATGACACTTCAGTCGAGTCCTGACCACCATTGAAGACATGTCACACTAGCCAAGTCATGGTCTGCCGTCAGGACACTCGTCAGATAATAAATACTGTCGGGTCGAATGTTCGAATCCATCTTTCGTTTTCTTTTTTTATTATTTTCCTGTTCTACGGACTAGTCCAGACGTGGTTAAAGGACATTTCTCCTAAAGATGACTAGTCATGAAAAATGTATAAGACGTATTAGACTAGACATGATGGATATTACGGACATTTCAGACTAGTCATGTCGGCTGTCTACGCTTATTTTTTTCTCACTTGAGTATAAATAAATGTGTTCTATTTGACGTGCTATAATAGAAATCAAAGGTGCTTCAAACTGGTTCGATTGATTACAACTTGACTCAGACACAATGTACAATATGTTTCGTATCTTTCTGTTGGTTGTGCTTATCATTATGGTTGATTGTCAAGGAGGTGGAGGGCGTAGCAGCAGCAGTAGTGGCAGTCGAATTGGAAGAAGTTTCTACTCATATTCAGGCAGTGCAAGTAAGCATATATTCAGCAGTTTTATGAGGGAGTGTCTAAGATTTATAAGAAGAAATATAAGCACTCAAAAAGGAAAATCGAATATGTTCTGAAAACAAAAACAATTTTCCGTTTGTAAAAATTTTCCTCCATATCTTCATTCAAGAAACTTTCTCACTAGTGAATTTGAAATCTCTTGAGCAATTTCTATTGGTATTTCCTTCAACACAACTAAATAGTCTTTTTATTTATAATTTTGCATGAGTTTGATGCATACTTCTCCATTGTAGCTCGTTGGTATAGTGGAAGACCAAAATGTACGAATGATACTTGTCAAAATCAAAACGCCACTAAAACTTGGATTACGATTGCCGGTATCTCTTGCATAATCGGAGTGATATTTTATTTGAAGTGGTGGTCAGGTAGACCGTTACGATCAAATGTGTCTTACATTGCTTTACCTTCAAATGAAATCAGTGAACAAGTATTCAACCAGTTTAAGTCGGGTTTATGGTCAAGTCGTTATTATCAATATAATGCATGGCATGGACCTCATCAACTCAGTCTCTCATTCGATCCTGAAACATCAAAAGTGACAGGCAATGGATCGGATGACGTCGGTAATTACAACATTGAGGGCATTTACTCACCAACAACCCATCGGATGGGTCTGACAAAGAAGTATCAATATGGCACTGGTGATCCATCACAGAATCTCGGACATTATGTTACAATTCAAGTGACTTGGAATACGCGTCGACGTCGTTTCAAAGGCAAATGGTTTGTTCGAACGAACAAGTACACGGGCGAGAACAAGTTTGACCTCAAACTTGTGAAAAGCTATGGAGCAATCGAATAACATAATTATAATTAACAGTTAATTAGTTTTTTTTGTATTTTTCGCATTTTTGCAAACATAATGTAATGATTACAAGCACAATATTTACCATTTGATTATTCTTCTGTACTAGAGAAATATGTATTTTTAGTTCGAACTATCTTCATTCAAATAATCTATTAGATGTTTTGATTTGGATGTTGGTATGGTTGTGACTACAGCCATCTGCCCACATCCACATCCTCTGAATATTTAGTGTATTCGATGGATCCATTTGCATTGTTGTAGGTGGCCCACATCCTCTCTTGTTGTTTCAATGACATTATTCGATTAGTAGTGGTTTTTAGGTTTCGGAATATGAGATGCTTGACAGATGACAAATATGCAACAACTACTGCGAGCAAATGTGTCGAAGACGGATTGTCGGGCTTGAATTCTGAAAAGACAAGAATCATGAAAGTCAACAAATTTAATATAATTCTGATATGTAATTGTCATCCAGTACATATTACACATATAATTAGATTCATTAATATGTAACTTGATATAATTCTAAGATTATACATAGAATTCGCATTATTCGCTATTGTGTGACAATAGAACAAGGCAAATATGATCGATTGACGTAAATGAATAGAAAGCTGAATGTTGACTGATACTATATATCACCTGTAATTTTATATTGATCACATCTCTCTCTCTCTCTCTTTCAGTTCATATCAAACAACTAATGCTTATATATTGAGCAAGTACAAAACTAAGTTATTTCATCATTCAACTCCTTCGCTAAATTCAAAAGAACACTTTTGTATACTGATCTACTCACAAATACTTAAGTAATAATCCATTGAGATTACTCATTAAGATTTCATCAAATGAGTCCAATGCTTGCTGAACTTAACAAACGCATTGAACCCTCGTGCTCATAGATAACCAAAGTCGCATCCGCCTTCACACACTGACACCCACTTACCTGCGCTACTCCCAATTGAATAATCAAATGTTTAGATCTATTACATATATCATTCATCAAATCGATAACCTGAAATCAAGTTCGATTAATTTTTTTTGAGGTTGTGAATTTAAACAAATTTTTTAATCTTTCGACTTTTGAGAATATTCGATATTTTGAAGTCGAAAATTTAACCAAAAGTTCATTCAACGGTTCTTTTTCAGTTTGGAATTGTTTAACAGTTTTATCTGTTTCTTTTAAACGAACTTTCAACATGAACACTAAAATATATTGAAAAATTTCGAATGATCCTTGAAACTTATTTTGAAAATATCGATGAGTGTCTTTCGTTTTAGAGCTTATTATTGTTTGGACGTATTCTAATATTTCAACAATGAACAATAGGGCCAATCGATAGGTAAATTGTTCCTGTTTAAGCAGAAATGGTTCACCTCACATAATAAAGTCATACTTATCAAGAAGACATGGAAAAGAAGAAAATAAATATATATATATATGTGTGATTCACTGCCCTTGCACTACTTCGATTTCTCTTTACTAAAAACCATTTCTTCTAGAATTCATCCATAGCAATGAAAAAGAATACAATCAATTTCTGTTTATCTATTTTTCATTTCATTTTATGAGGGGAAAAATGGATGCAGGATTTTTACTTGTTCAATTTTGAGAATGTCTGTTGCTGATTGTTTCGAGAGGATTAGTTGTGTTTCTTAAAGAAGCGTTTCTACTTGACTTTGTGTGGGTGGAAGCATTTTCGCTGTAAATAGAACAATTTCTCGATTTTTGGGGATATTGTCCAGCCCTCTTCTCGTTAGTCATAAATACATATGTAAGACAGTTTTTCTTTCTTTTCAATGTTTCTAACAATAGTTTTACCAAACAGAGGCAAAATGTACAGAATATCTGTGATTCTCAACATACGCACTGTTTCACACTGCCCTCAAAAAGCAGTATGTATGCAATACAATTTACTGAATAAAATAACACTTTGGATGTAAGATAGTTAGATGAATTTTTAAATGAAAAAAAAAAGTAAATGTAACTTATTCTATTACTTTTTTTAGCTTATTTCACTTTTTTTTCTATCCTTCAATTTCTCTTTGATTCTACGAGGGAAAAAAATTCAAATATTTTTTCTCTGTTAGAGGCCATCTATGAAGAACATTCAGATAAAGAGGGGAGAAGAAGTCCGTCAAAACTGGACAAATCTGAACAGAAGTGCAAGCAAGATCAAAGATTTCTATAAGTCCAAAAACTTATTATGAATATTTTCCTTTTTATTTTTATACAACTTTCCACGAAATATGGAACTTAGCTCGTTTTGAAGAGAAATCTTAAATAGAAAATGAACTAAATCAATAAGTTGAATATGAATATAGTCTCTAAATTATTGAAGATTATGCTATGCTGGCGAACTAATGATTTTCTAAAGCAGTGATATGAACGTTGTTGAATTTTCAAATGCTAATAATATTGAACTGCAGTTTTTGTTTTTCCTATTTATATTTTTATTGTTTTCTGCTCATTAAAATCGAATGTATTGAAAAACCAAAATCTTTGCTATAAGTTAGATTTTGGGTGTAGGTGTAAAATGCCGGTATGGATATAGTTGAGGACTAAGGTAAGAAACACACTCAAACCCAAAATATATGTGACTTTATAGCTAGACATCTTACATAAATGAACTCTTGTCACTTATATTATTATCAAAAGATATTGCTTGTTTGACGAAAAAGAGGGTTAGTTCTTCGTGTTGTCTTTTTAATGTCTTATTTAATAGAACATCGTTGTTTCTTTCTGTTTTTTGTTACTAAAAGTTTGCTCGTTTTTTCAAAAAGGTTTCAGCTCGCCTCTGTATTAAATAGTAGTTATATTCGCTTTAGTGTTGACTCGATAAGTCTTAGTGCTCGTTCAAGATATTTTAATCATCAAATTTTGATCGATATTTCGACATATCTAATAAAATTTCCCTGATATATAAACAAATTTTTGTTTCATTAACTCAATGTCATACACCTTCAAGAGTAGAAAATAATTGATGTGCCGTAATCTGACATATCGAATGCATTTTTTGTTCATTTCGTATCACTGACTGTAGAGAAATGTATAAAATTACCTTTGAAAAGCTATTGATTCACATAATATTGTTTTGATTATATAATGCTATCCAATGAAATCAGCATTTATGTTGATGTTGCTTATTAATATAGTTACTTCAAAGTAATAATATGTTCTAGTATTTTTTTTATATTTCTTCTATACATACAAAATATGCAATCAGTAATTGATGTGACAACCATTTATTACTTTTTTTTTTTTATTTCGCTTGTTATCAGTGATGACAAAAAAATGTGTATATTTTTTTCTTGTTAGAATAGAGAGAAAAAAAAATAATAATCATTTTATTTGCTTACTAGATTTATTAGGTGATCAACTTTGAGTCAAAATTTGATTATCATGTCGTCAGAATTTACTGGTGTCGATGGTACATGGAAAATAATTGATTATCCACTGCATCCAGAATGTGTTGGTTGTAAATTTGAAATAAAAAGCGAAAATCCAAATAAGTATCGTCTTCATGCATCTGTAATTAATTCAATGAATTGTAGTTTGGAATATAATCTAGAAAATAATGAATGGAAAACTTCTTCCATTATGTCAACATTAATGGCAGGTTCACCAGAAGAAATGAACAAAGAAAATTTCATAAATGATTTAATCTCTAATATTAAACGTTTGCACGTTGAAGATGAACAATATTTAATTATTCAAACGAATAATGGTGCAACAGCTCAATTAGAACGTTTCTGAGTTTCAGCACCATAGTCAGTTATGCAAAATGTATCTCGTTAATTAGGTGACAAATGCTAACAAATAATAGATTTATCATATAGAAAACATGGTTTAGATATGCAAATAGTATTTTTTTCCTGCTTATTTAACAAATTTATTGCATTTTAATAAACATTTATATTTATAGGAGAACAATAAAATATATTTAGAGAAACGGTTATAAAAACTATGTTTATTCAGTCCTATTGTATAAATATCCATATAATTTTCGAGAAAGATTATAATATTTCATATCGAAATATTTTATTAATATATGAAAGTCAATATATTTCATTTTAATTACATATAAAACTATTTATCCTAGATAGTATTGCTTTAATATGAATATCTGAATTGTTCGAGTAATGTTTATGAAAGATATGTTGAAGTTATATTCATAATACTTTCGATACTTTTTCATTTTTTTTCTTTTAATAAATGAAATAGTTAACATTGTTTTTGAAAACTAAAATTAAACTTTTGAATTTCTTTAAATATTTTTTAAACTATTGCATTTCGTCGTTGATAGCAATAAGAGTCTTAAAGACATTTCTATTATGAAAGATAACATCTAGATCTACGATTATTGGTCCTCGTAAGAATTGGGTACTATGAGAATTAGTCACAGTACTGAAAAATCAGAGCGACTCAAAAGTTTTTCGTCGTATTATGAGGAAATAACTTATAGAAACCTAGAAAATCACTAACGATCTATACAAGCCTAAGAAATAATTGCTTTAAACATTTTCTGTAATCTTCTATAATATTTCCTTATTTTGAAGCTTCTAACAGTTGTAGTTTTCGTTTTTATATTACATTTCGATAAATTCAAAATGTGAACATCCACGCTTGATTATTGTTTATGTGACCAATTCAAGTTTGTGACTAATTGTTGTAGGACCCATTTATCACTTTTCCATAATATTCATATCTAAGAATTTGTTCGCCAATTTGATTATTCTTTGTCAATTGAATTGAAAGTACTTCGGCTTTATTGAATAGTTTAGTATATTGATGAGCAAATCTTCATATTAAATATATTTAATTCAGATTCGAATAAAAAGACAAGATTATGATTTCTTTCACTATTACTTATTCATAAATAATTTATTAGTACGTTGAAAGATTTATCTAGTATAACATAAAATATAATCATATGATGATGATGTTAAAAACAAAGAACATAAATGAATATTTTAGATTTGTTTTAATTTATAATGAGAAAGTTTTAAAAAATACAAAGGTTTTTTCATTTGTTTTTTTTTGTCTGTAATCTCACTATTAAAAAAGCATTCAGACATACTTTTATATTTTCAAGCTTTTTAACATTGTTGCAAGTAATTAAACAACGTTATTTTCATCTATTTTATATGATGGTGTGAGTGTTGGAGTGGGCGTGGGTTAAGAGAAGAGCCACACATACATCCACATCCTAACATGAAAGAGCCATTTATCTGTCACAAATAATGGGTGGGGTGTGGATGTAGGCGTCGCTGCAGATGAGATTCATATAGACACCCATACCCATCCTATTAATCAATTGATTATTCAATCTTCCTCTTAATATAAGGTGGGATAAATTTGATGGTTAGCATGAAACATAGCTTTTCTCTGAACCAAAAATAGAGATCGAATGGAGCAGCTAAAGTGAAACATTCAGGCAATCCATGAATCATAACAAGGAAATAAGGAAATAGTCGTTTAAAGTAAATGAACTGGCTTCGAAATAAAATAAGTCGCGATGAACGAAAATATTGACGATCATAGTAGAGCAAGGACTTAACTCATGAGCAATGAGAGGAGTATCGTGAATGACCAACTGATATAGTATCCGAAAGATTTTCAAAACCAAAAATACTGCCTAATAGAACATAGATGAACAATGAACAACAAGACTATAAG